CAGACTGGGTCCTCTCTTCTTCTCTTGGGGATTAGAAGAATTATTAATTCCTTAAGGGAACAAATAAAACAAAACACAGAACTCCTTCATATTCAACACAGTTTCCCACTGTGTCCAGCTATGGAGAAGAGGAATTAAAAATGAGGGAGGAATGGAGACTGGGTAGAGGAAGAATGGGAACAGGGAGGGTCTGTTAAACTGGATTCTATCCTGTATCTTTTAGGTAACTGCTGGGGTGGGTTGCTATTTTGAAGCAGAACGTATCAACAAGGAAAATGCTATTTTAATTCCCTACTGGCAACAAACATTTAAGTGAAGAAAAGCAGAAATCCCTAGGTTGGGTACTGATGCTCTGCAGTTCTAACTGATGGTTCTTACCACGCTTAGAACTTGTGATTTCTTTTTTTATTTTTGGACAGTGTCTACGTGACCCAAGCTGGCATCAAACTCAGTGATCCTCATGCTTTAGCCTCCCTGAGTGCTAAGATAATAGGTGCTCTACCATACCCAATTACAACTTATGTGACATTTTATCTCATAAGGAAAAAGGGAATTAGCTCAGTGATACCACTGCCTGCCTCACAAGCACAAGGTTCCCAAGTTTGACCCCCAGTACAAAAAAGGGGCAGGGGTGTCCAACCCAGGGCACATGTATAGCCAAGGCAGAGCTTAAGGGTGCATACACAATGTACTGCGTTCCATCCACAGCAACATACACACAACTTCAAACTTGAGGCTATATGATTAAACTAGTGAGCCACATTTGGGAAAAATTAGTTCCAAGGAACAAAAAGTACCAAAGTACTAAACACACCAAGCTCAAGAGTCCTATTCACAAATCTAGCATTTATATGGTACCCTTACCAACCTCAAAGGGAGAAGCCAGTTGGGGGAGTTGTCCACTTCCCTGAGGATGGAATCTTAGGCCCAAAGTGGTTTTGTGGACACCCTTCCTACAACAGAGGTTGTAAGACCAGTACCTACTGGACTGGGGGCAAATGGGAAAGCCAACAGTACTTGTTCTTCTAAAGGGATAGCTTCTTCTCAGCAGCTCTGGGAGAACATAGGCTCAGGGGAAGTCTAGATTTTAAAACTTCTAAGTTGTTCAACAACTCCTCTGTTTTAAAATGCTAGCATCTACATTTTTTCAGTACACTACCGGACCAATCAAGCCCCCAGCTAAAGCAAAACTCTTGGGCCTCACGGACTTCTTGAGGGGGCCAGGTTACCCACATGTATTTATTCTGGATGAAAGGATCACACAGACACACCATATCCATGGAAAAACCCTCTTGTTTATTTGATTAAACAAAAATAAAATAAGCTGCATAGGAACAATTTTAAAGTCCAAAGAGACACCAACTTTATTTTAAGGCTGTAGTAGCTGATACAGCATCTCCTTGCTACCTTCTCCAGCCTTCTCTGTGGACCACAGCGATACATTCAGAAGCCTGTTATCTAACACAGGAGTTTTGAACACTTTTCCATTGGTTCTTCACCTGCTCATTGCCTGTCCTGCCTGTGGCCTACACTATTAACAATTAAGATTTAAAAGCAATAATAACCAAGAGGGAAAATATATAACCCAAACAAACAAAAACCCACTTTTGCCTAAAGGTCTGGAGTAAAATCTACTTCCCCACCCATCCACTGAAATGATGGGATGGGACAAGCACTACAAGCCAGTGCCCATGTAAAAGGTGGCACGAGGCAGCCAGCACCCAGACAAGGCTTGCAGAACAGCTTCTGCAGCCAGGGAGGTATTCAGGGGTACATATTGCTTGTATCAGTTTGCCTTGGACAAATAATAAAAAGTAGAGGTTTAATTTAATCACCCTCATATCAGGCAACATGCCTTTTTGCTAGATTCCACCATTTGAATTTCTTAAAAAAAAAAAAAGGAAAAAGGAAAAAAAAAAAGACTCAACTGAGTCATGTATTCTATACTTAAAAATTAAAGCATTTTTATGACCAGGCATGAGAACTAATGGACATTAATTAAGCAAGATTCATATAAAAAAATACTAACAACCCTCCCACCCACCCAACTATTCTTAACATGCTAGTTAAAAACATCCCTTTATCCACCCACCCTCACCTGCATTGACTTTAGGGGGAAAGAAAAAAAAAAAAAAAAGAGACATCTTACCACCCTAAAAACAAGAAAACCCCATAAATGTGAAAAATCTTCCTCTGAAGAAAGAGGACTACACAGACTGCTACAAACATAAAGAACTATTACAGAGCTGGTTATGTAAAGAAAGTAAACAATTTACTACACACACCAACATTCAGCCAGTGTGCTCCGAGAAAGCCTTAGGAAAAATACTACCTGAGCTTGAAAGTTAATACAATCATTAAAATGAGGTCTAAGACCATGTGGATACACAAAACTTTTAGAACCATTACTGGTTAAATGATGATGGAAAACATCCCACCAGGCTGGCTTGTTAACCCGTAAGATCAGTTTTAAAAATAGACATCGTTGAGGTATTTCTTCACCATGACATTTATAAACCCATCTCACGATTTACTATAGTGGTCTTAGGATCCCTCTTCCAACCAAACCAAATATTAACCACAGAAGAAGAGAGGTAGAAGGTCAATACAGTATATATCCTGATAATGTGCTTCACAATTTTATCAAGTATTTAACAAGGAGAAAAAAACAAAACAGAAAAAAGCAACCCGTCAACATGATACCTTTGGTAGAAAAATTAAAACACAAAACAAAACAGCAATACACATTTCACCAGTCACTGCTCAGTAGAAACAGTGGGTGCTGCAACATCATGGTGATGAACATCCTCCTGCTGGGTCCAGAAATTTACAAATACAATCATAAAGTCAAAATAACTCTCATTCCCTTCAAAAATCTGATGTTTCCAACAAGGACTTTAGAATCCCCCCAAACAGGTCTACTTGTAGACGCTCAAAAACAGATAAAACATTTTTCTCTTGAAGAGAAAGAGACCTACAGGTCTTCATTTGTCATAAGTCCTCCAATTGGTCAGATTACCCAGTAGTTTCTTAATACTGAACTCGGAAAGGTATGCGAAATTCTTCTGGAGGTGGGGGTAGGTTGGTAAGAACTACTTGAATTTATGACTGCATGACATCTCTTTATAAAGGTCCAACATCTCTTCCTGGAGGAACAGTCAAGAGATTTATGAAAATAGCTGTTCTAGAGGTAGCTTCCCACTTCCACCCCTTCCCCACTGGATTAATACTCTTCTCTCCAAGACCCTTCAGATGAGAACATGAGGTAGATGAAACTTTCACCAAAAGTGAGGTAGAACCTGAACAAAACGCAGTTTTATGGTATATCCTGTACCCTAGGACATATGGGATGTCCTGTATGTTTTGTCCTGTCCCCCAGGCCCACAGGAAGCCTGACAAAGCTGTACAGCCTGGGAAGGCCCTGGCTCTAGGCAACCATCGTGTGCAAGCATGGAGTTTGACTTTTATACAGCCCCAGACTGTTGGAAACTCGGTTAAGAGAGATGTTCTAAAGAAACACCCTAAATATTTTTTGGCACCACTGATTTTTTTTTTCTTTTAAACAACAGAAAAAACAAGCCTAAAACTTTGGCTATTTTTCACTATCTACCATAGCAATCTTAGAATCTTCTTCCAAATAAGACAACAACACATAATACAAACAGTACTCTCCTGCTTCAAGCCTAAGAGACGTCCCTCCTGAAATAAGCTTTGGCTTAACTAGAGTAAAACAGGCTGAGCTGATTTCATGCTATTCTTTCAACTTGGTAACAAAGTGTCTTTTGATTCTGGCAACTTCTTTGGCCCAAAAAATAATTTAGGTTCTGTTCGTGGTACCCTTGTGTTTCCCTAAGTTAGTCAAACTTAAAAGGGCACTGATTGAGGACCTAGTGCACCTGGGCTACAGCTAAGACCACTGGGCTCCGGACAACCAAGTGCTACATGCCAGCCCCAACAGCACACAGGTTCTGAGATAGGAATGCTTTTCATGACCAAACTGACAAAAATGATAACTTTAACTTACATATTATACTTCTGAAATGTTTAATTGGTGCCAACACCTATGGGGTTATTGAGATTTCCATTAAACATTAACATCAATACTGAAACCTATGCCTATATATACAATACCAATGGGTACCTCCCTATTATAAATTGACTTTATACCCAACCCTTCCCACTGCTGCCAACTGACCATATCAGACCTACCTGGAGACCTTTATCTAATTAATTCTTATTCTTTAGAAACATTTTATTCTCCCTCTTGGTACCCAATACCTTTTCTCTCAACCCACTGAAGACTCTCCTCTTTATTCCAACTCTTACCTACTCCGGCATCACCTAGTTATGAGCAGGAGATAAGCATTAGAACACATGCATTTTAGACAGCCTCACACTAGGGGTACCAAATGTTGGCTTTTGTCATCTTTCACTGATTTGGAACCATCCACATTACACAAAACACTCTCCAAAGTGCTTAGCACCAATCCCTAAGGGTCAGGAATCAATCTCCAGCAGCCACAAATGACCAATTGTTTTATAAACAAAAGTTTCCCAAATGTGACCATGTTCTTCAGGTGCCACTTTCTGAGTTTAGAAAGGTAAAGGGCTGAACCAATGTGGAGGAGCCAGGGTCAGGAAAGTGCACCTGGCACATCCGCCTCAGAGAGGGACCTACTTGCTCCAAGACCGCAAGCTGCTTGCTCTATTAAGACCTGACAATTTTAGCTGTGAGGCAGAAACCCTGACTTTACAACCAAATCCACAGTGAAATGTTTTAAGTATTTCTATCTACTGCTATTCACCAACCAAATTTCTCATTCAGCACCCAATACTTTCCCGCTTGGGGAAAAGTTGGGAAGCCAACAGAGTGAAGATGATCACCAAAATGAAAAAGAACTAAAAAGTAAAAAGGCAGTAACTTAAAACTTTTCCTAGTCATAATCATGACTTAGGTTTCTTAAAGTACTTTTATCAAGATGCATTTCTTCAATAAAATAAATGTTAAGCATTAAAGACTAGTTAGTTATCTTCGGTGTTTAAATGGAAATCTGGTGGAGAGTTGAGGGGAGGCAGGGAGACCATTGTCAAGTTACTCCAACAACAGAAAACAGTAAAAATGTTTACTGGACTACGGCAAAATTAAAGGTAACTGACTAGAAATTAAGAGAAGATTCACTAAAAACATGTTCTAAAAGGCCCATGTACCAAACAAAGCTTTCATCATGCCTCCCCCATTAAGAACTCAGCAAAAAAGCAAAAGCAAAACAAAGAACTGAGCAGCTCAAAAGCAGTTGACGATCCTCCCCCAACTATGCGTAATCTGATTGTGTGCAGATCTGCTTTGTGAAACACACCCCCCCATTTTGGTAATTCGGAAACCCTAGAATTACAGCTATGAAAGAGGATCTCCCAAAGTGGTAGGTTAAATGTCTAAAAGAAGCGGGTGGGGAAAGGCAGTTTGATTGACTTGTCACATTAATCCATCCCTTTTCTGGATTAAAAAAAGTAAATTGTTCCATTTGTGAAATTTTTTTTTCTGCTCATTTAAAAACTCTGTTTTTGCAACAGAAATCTCTCAAACACACAGGAACAGAAGCTGATCCATTGGACTTACTGTTTCAAACAGAGGTTGTCCTTCTAGGCCACTTTTTCCTAAAGACTGCTGCCCCAGAAAATGGTTCTTATTTCAGTATATGGGAGAATGAAGGACCCACCATATGGGTTCTAATAAGCAGGGTTTTATTTTTCGTCTATTCCTGCTTTCCAACTGAAAGGCAAACACTACCTAGAAGCATAAAGTTTTGTACCCAAGTCCGGCTCACAAAATACCAATCCTGTAAAGTGACACATATGCCAGCCACCCCAACCCCGCAGTGTGAGTCCGGCTTACACATACTCATTCTTTGGTACCAAGTTACAGGTTTCAAAAAAGACAGGACATCCTACACATTTCTGGGTGGTGATTTGGTTTATACATCCTTTACATTCAATGGCCTTGGGGGAAATTTACCTTAGCCATAAGGTCTGCCCTACAGGATGGCCTGGGGACAACAATCCTATAAAAGTGACCTGCACGGAGGGTTTTTGACAATGGGGTGCTCCCATTACTTGAGGTTCAAATATTATATTTCCCTGAATTTCCAAAGCAGGAAAAAATTGTGCTTTTAAAATAAAAATTTATTCCTTTGCCTATACTTCTTAGGAGAATAGAACACCTAGCATTATAGAACATTCACTCTGAGGTCAGGGATCAACCCCACCCCTGCCAAACAATCTCTAATTTGGGGGTGCCATGCTTCCCTAGTGCCCTCTACTTCCTCTCTCAGCATGGCAGTCCATGTCTGAAAACCCTCTGAGAATGAGGTCCATTTTCTTCTTCCATCCACTTAACGCTTTATAATCCACAAAATAAAAATAATCAACTTTTGAGAACACTTTTAATTAAGAATCCTGAGCTATATCTATTTTTTTAGAAACCAAAATGTGAACAAAATAGGTTCCCTACGATGTGGTGTGTCATTTTCAGCTTTACTATTTATCTGGGTGCAAGATGGCTTTAAAATATACACACAGACACACACACCCCACCTTAAAAGAAAAAGAAAGATCATATATATACCCTAAAACACGAATGGTCTGCTTTTCTTGGCTAGCAAGCCCACAGCCATATTTCCTAGGAATAAGAAACGATGCTGAAGATGTGAGACACACTGTATAGAACAAAGGAAAATTCCTCTGTTGCAGCATTTTTTAAAAAAAGATCCCCCCCCGCAAAAAAGATCAAACCACACAACAAAAATCTAACCCCCAAAACAACAGTATTATTCTCAAGAACACAAATATTCTATCATTATGAATTTTAAATCCTATTTTCCCCACATTTTATAGTTTTTCTCCTATTGTGTTTCCTTGGCTCAAGCTACAGAATCCACCCCACCACACACATCCAGTGCCCTCCCAGCGGCAGAGATGCTAGGCTTGTGCATATCACACCCCACAGCAGGGAGAGGGAAACGAGAACTCCACTGAGGAAGGGAAGAGGGCCTGTTGGAGAAGGAAATGTAAAGATTTATGAGGTAGATAGAAATTATCACTTCACAGGCTCAATCCCTGCACAAAAGATAAGTACATTCATCTGTAAAAAAATAAAGATGAGGTAGGACTTAAGCAATGTTGTACTTTTCTTGTTCTCTTTAAAATAAAAAAAAAAAGAAAAAAAGAAATTTCCCTGAGACTGCTTCTTCTTTGAAATTCAAAAGGAGAGAGACGTGCACACGTGCACACACCCCAAACACAGAACCTAACAGATGAAATTAGAAGATGAGGATTCGATTGTTGCCAAAGTCCACCACAACGATCATTCCATCTGGGGTAATGGCAATGCCAGAAGGACGGTCCATTTGCCCAAAGCCACTGCCTTGAGCACCAAACTTGCACAGGAAGCTTCCATTGGCCTCAAACATCTGTACCCGGTGATTCCTGGAATCGGCCACAATGATGCGCCCTTCCTGATCCACCGCCACGCCTTGTGGGCGCAGGAACTGCCCATTGCCAGTGCCCTCTGAGCCCAGGAAGCGCGCTGATTGACAGTCGGGATGAATGACCAGGAGCCGGTGATTGTTGAAGTCGGTGACCACCAAGTGACCCTCATGGTTGAAGGCCACACCCCTTGGGGAGTCAAAGTGCTTCCAGAGGGCCCCCTCGAAGCCATACTTATTCAGGAAGACTCCATCAGGCCCAAACAGCTGGATCCGGTGGTTCCGGGTGTCTGAGACCAGGATCTTGCCCTCAGAATTCACTGCCACATCCCAAGGGTAGTTGAACTGTCCGTTTTTGGTTCCTTTCTCACCAAACTTGAGGAGAAACTGGCCCTCAAAGGTGAAGATCTGGATACGATGATTGTCCTTGTCGGCCACCACAATCCTGCGTGAGGCATCGCAGGCCACTCCAGCGGGTCGGTCGAACTGCCCAGGCCGGGAGCCCAGGGTGCCAAATTTGTGGTGGAAGGAGCCACAGGGCTTGAACACCTGGATGCGGTTATTGCTGCGGTCAGCGACAATGATATAGCCTTCCTTGTCTACACTCACACCCCAAGGGCGGCAGAGCTTGCCATCACTGTCGCCCTCGCTGCCAAAGCTCAGGCCAGGGAGGCCGATGCCCACATAGCTGCGGCCCGACTTGACCACCACCTTGAAGGGGCTGTTCTCAATGTGTTGGTTGCACATGGTCACTGACACCAGATGCTCACCCTCGAGCTGGGGCCGGTAGCTCACCACGTAAGTCCCATTCTGCTGATCACTCACCTCTGCCCCAAACAGGTTGCCATCAGGACCCAGCACTACAGCTGACATTAGGTCACCTCCTGAGAGGCGTGGCTCACCGTCATGGTCATAACCAATAACAGTGAATGAGGCCACCTTACCCTGGAGGGCACGCTTGAGGCCATCACCTGTGGCCTTCGTGAGAGGTGCAAAGGCCCCACTGCTAACAAAGCCAAAGGACTTGATGGCAAGGTACAGCGCCTGGTCAGGGGGTGTGAACATAACTCGATCATCTTCCTGGGGCTGCAAGAGGCTCCTCACGGTCTTCAGCTCCTGTACCTGGGCCAGCATCCGATCTCTGGCAAGTAGGATGTCCAGTGCTCTACCCTCCTCCAGGACCTGCTGGACGGCACTGACGGTGCTCTCCAGCTTGCTGAGGTTTTGCCGTAGCTTCTCCACCTGCAGATACAGAGACTTGGCTTTCACCTGGCGGATCTTCTCTACCTAGAGGAAAAGTAAAGAGATACAGCAAAGCCTTAGAACCAAGATCAGAAAACAAGAGAAACCAGTATTCAGAGACATCCTACAAGACAATTGGCCCGTACTCTTGAAAAAACAGCAGAATCAAAACAGAGCCCCAAAAAGCCAGGCATCGTGGTGAACTCAGGAGGCTGAGGCAGAAGGATCATGTATCCAAGCCCAAACAGAGCTACATGGAAAGTCTAAGGCCAACCTGGACTACAGAGCAAACCCTATTTCCAAGAGGCTAAGGAGATCTTCCAGGTGACAGAAAATGTAACAAGTAGGTGCAATAAGTAACCCTGGAGAGGCCAGGGTTTTATTTAGTTCAGTGGCTCCACTGCCTGCCTCACAAGCACAAGGTTCCAAAGTTTGATCCACTGTACCAAAACAAAACAAAGAGTTAAAAACATTGGTCAAGGATATACCTCAGTGCTAAGACCCTGGGTCCAATTTCCAGTGTCTCCAAAATGAAAAGAAAAAAATTCTGCTTGGTGTTAAACAAGTAATCCAGAGGTTAAAGTACAAGGAAAGATATGCAGAGGCCTTGTGCAAATAAAATAGGTATTTCGCGTGAGAGACTTGTATACCCATAGAGATTGGCCTTATAACCAATCCCATAAATACCGAGGGGAAAAATCTATTTAGAACAATACAGCAAAAACCTGGTATCCCACCCCAAAAAAGAGAAATGCAACAAATACAGTAAATAATCAAGTGAATCTGGGTAAAGAATATATGGAATTATTATTATTACTGCAAGTATTCCTAACTTAGAAATTAAACAGGGAAAGAAGTCATCTAACAAATGCTTACCCAACACCTATTCTGTGCCAGGCATTTGAGGAAATACAAAAACCAACTGAAAATAATAGTGTCAGTCCTCATATTTTACAAGTTCTTAAACAAAGAAATAAGGTACTTAAGGTACTACCTGAGGATAAAAAGCAGTAACACAATGAGACTGACAGTGCTAGGGAGGCCTGATTTAGACAGAAAGCGGTACAGTCTCATCATAAGTTCAAGTCTAAAGGAACAGGAATTTGTCTGGCACTTCAGAAAAGCAGTTCAGTTTTGTTTTTGTGGTCCTAGAGACTGAAACCAGGGCCTGCTACATGAAAGATAAGCACTTTATGTTTGAGCTACATCCTAGCGATTTTTCTTTTGAAATTTTAAGACAAAGTCTTTGGTGGGGGGGACCAGGCATTGAATTCAGGACCTTGCGTTTGCAAAAAGCAAGCAGCAGAACCACCAAGCTAAAGCCCCAGTCCTAAGATAAAATCTTCCTAAATTGTGTCACCCTGCCTCAGACTCTGTGTGTGTGTGTGTGTGTGTGTGTGTGTGCGCAATGTAATATTATGTGTCTGTAAAAAGAAATTACGTTAGCAGCTAAAGGAAAATGGATGGAACTACAAACTGTACACTAAATGAAATTTGCCTAAATATCATGTTTTCTCTTAAAATCAACTATCCAAGCTGGGCGTGGTGGCCATGCCTGCAATCCCAGCACTGGGGAGGCTGAGGAAGAAGGATCACTGTGAGTTCGAGACCAGCCTAGGCTACATAGTGAGTTCCAGGTCAGTCTCAACTAAATGGTGAGACCCTGTCTCAAAAACAAAAAAACAACAAACAAAAAATCAACTACTCAAGGGCTGGAGGTTTAGCTCAGTGGTACCAGCACCTGCCTGGCAAGTACAAGGTCCTGAGTTCAATCCCCAGTTCCGCAAAAGAAAAGGGGGGGGGCACAAAATCTGGCAGAATTTTGGAGAGGAGGATTAATTAATAAGAGGGGGCAGAAAATAAGACAGTAGTGAGACTGACATTAAGATATATTAAAGGTATGTACAAAACTCCCCAAAAGAATTGACAAAAATAGATTTACACTGTGGACAGCGTATAGGAGAGGAACAACAAAATGGAGGAAACAGAATGACCACCCAGGTAAGATTGTGGCTCAAGCTGTGTAGGTAGAGAGGAAAATAGCAGAAAGGGTAGCAGAGGTAGAACCAGCAGGATAGAAAGATTGTGTCCATGAAAACACTGCACTCTCAATCCTGGGAAACTGAGACCTCTTGAGTAATCATCTTCTCCTTGTTTCTCTCTCTCTCTCTCTCTCTCTCTCTCTCTCTCACACACACACACACTCACACACACACACACACACACACACACAATAAAAGGTTTTACATGTAGACTGTACTGAGACTTAGTGGGGATGCAATTTAAGATCTCAAAAACCCTGCTCCCATAGTTTCTCTTTGCATCCGTTATTTTATTTTTTACATGGTGCTAGGGATCAAATCCGTGGGCCTTGCACATGCTGAGCAAGTGCTCTACCACTAAGCTTCATCCTCAGCATTAACTTGTTTTAGGAGCGGGTTTTAGAACCTCAGCCCAGGAACATCAAAGTCCCTGCTGCATCTCTAATCTGAGACAGTAAATTTAGCAATCTGCTTGTTTCAAAAGGAGCCTTCTACATCTAAAGTGCCGTAATAGATGACTTGGATTCTGACTTGTACAAATAATTTGTGTTTCTGAAGTGCTCAGAAGGGGGGGGGCTATTCTGATCAATAATTTTTTTTTTTTAAATTTCAATACTTGGCTGGGGATATAGCTCAGTGGTACTGCGCCTGCCTTGCAAATTCAAGCTGAGTTCGATCTCCAGTGCCAGAAAAGGAAAATAATACATAAATACAATACAATAAACAAACAAAAATGTAAATGCTTAAAATTAATTCACTTAATGGAGAAAAAGTTACCAACAAGTTTACACTGTTTGAAAAGGACTCCGGTGATCTAAAAGCCATGGAGTCTTTTGTTAAACATGGAGTCTATTTTAGAATAAGAGGCCACTGTTCTGAGGCTGGATTTTAATCTGAATTTCCTTTGAGGGGTGATGACATGATTTTTGGCCCATTCATACTTTTCACTTTGGAACCACAATGTGTGTGCAGAGAGAGGGGACCATACAGGTTCTATGAAAGAGAAGTTTTGTCCTTTGGTCTAATTTCTTCTACCTTTGGTTCTGAACCATAAAGAAGGGGATTCCACTAAAACTTCATAAAGGATAGGAAAAAGAAGACTATCTAGAGATTTAAAACTGAGCAGCCCAGCAAATTAAGGCTTAATCCTTATAGTTACATCTCTTAGGGTTCACTCCCAAGAGTTAAGGAGAAAAAAAAAAAAGTAATGTAACAAAGATATACCCAGGCACAAGCAGAAAGGATTTTCTGGCAAAGAACAGAAAATTAGCAATTAAGCAGAGAAGATTGTCACAGGTTAGGGATAAGAATACAAAGCAAAAATCAAAGATAAACAACAGGGCTCTGCCCAGGATAATAAGCTTATTTTGGTATTATCTCTTGAGACTGGGTTTTTAGGCAAGCAGAAATTGTTTCTTATATTCACAAGAGGTTAGCTTTCCATCCTAACATTTGTCTACTGCAGACCTGATTTCCATTTTCCCTGAAGAGAACCAACTGACACAGACAGTGGGTCAGCATCACAGGAGGAGTGCAGCTAAGGTGAGAGCCACAGAAATCCCCGCACACAAAGACCTTTTTCATCAGGAAATGCAGAAGAGCGAGTTTGTGGCAGAGTTCACTACAAAACTCTCAGGTTGCAAGAAGCAGGCCCCTCCAGTTATAATTAACATTCGTGGGTGGCATGAGACTGGCAGGCCCATGGGGACATCTGAGTTTCTAAAAACTGACATGCCACAAAGGCACTCAAAACATACACAGAGAACAAATCTCAGGACTCATACATACTCATACTCTCTCATTCTCTCTTTCTCTCCCTCCCTCCCTTCTTCCTTTCTCTGGACCCTCTGTTGAAAGGTAAATAAGCCATATTCCTTAATATGAATCCCTAAAGAGCCCAGGATTTAGCTCAGTCAGTGGTGCCACCACCTGCCTTCCAAGTGCAAGGCCCAGAGTTCGATCCCCTGTACCCACCCCACTAAAAAGGATCCCTACGGATCTCTTAATAGCTCAAAAGGGACACAAAGAAAGGAGAGTTGTGCAGTTAACTGAATGGAAAATGCATCGCAATGCAATGCAAATCCCACTGTGACCTTTACAGAACATTTCAGGGTTAAGTGGTTAGTGAAGGTTACTTTCAGGAACTGAGACAATCATCGTCACTACCATCATATAATACTGACATGAAAACAAGCCCACAAACACAGAAGTACAATATTAAATCATCTGATACTCTCATTTGTGTGTTCAGACGATGCACTTATAGTTTAATGTGTTGTTCTGGAAGAGCAGCCCATGAGGAGACATTAACCTCCTCCCTCCTCCTTCCTGAGAGGGATATAAAATCAGAAAAGGAGAAGTTGAGCCACTGACTTTTGTGGGGTGACTGGTCTTCCCAGCTGATTTTATCTAAACAGCACACCAGTGTGCCCAACACTCTTTCCTGCTCCAACAGGAAGAAAGGGCAATACACACTACCCTGAGCTGGCTTTCCACAAGAAGTCAGGAAGTGCAACCAGCCAGGACCCAAAAATAAGGATGTTTCCTACCAGCCTGCCCTTCCTAACAACAGTTTTAATTGTTTTCCCTTGTCTATGCTGCCTTTTGAGGGCACAGACTATAAAACTTGAGACTCCTTACAGTCTTGGATGCCCAACTGCTTCTGAACAGGCTTCTTGTTTTACTGCACAGAGAATATCCACAATGTTCCACAGACCCTCTGCCTTTTTCTGGAATATTTCCTAGCATTCTAAACTTAGAGCTTGGGTCCAGGATCTGAAAACAGAGTCCTGCGAGAGTTCAGCTGAGTTGCACAAAAAACCAGCTGGACAACCTCAGGCAACGGTGTGTGTGTGTGTGGTTACCTTCCACAGCAACTCGCATTCACGCTCCTCCAGGGCCTTCTTATGCCTTGCGGTGACGGCTTTTACCTCCGACTGTACCACCTTTGCCTTCATCTCCACCTGTTCCGCCACTGTCTGGGCCTGCTCGATGCTCAGCTGGAAGGGAAAAAAATTAACAAACAACCTTAAGACATCAGAAGGATCTTTACTTCTTGTGCAGTTAAATCTGCTCCTACCAGACCTACAAATAGGCCAGCGCAGCCAGACCACTTGATCCACTTCCTTGGAAAGAAAGCAAGCACTTGGGAGAGACTGGCATCTGTTTGACATGTAACTGAAGGAGCTGCTGGCAAGGGCTAGGCTTCTTTGTATGAGAAATAGCACCTACACAGTGAATGTCAGACTGTTAAGAGCTACTCTGACACAGTTAAACCAGTGTAGCTGGGTGACTGCCGAAAACTAGAAAGAGGATCAGATGTAAAATGTGCAACTCTGGGCACACAACAAACTTTCCAGACTTTCTGGCCTTACTCTCTGCCTCAGGAAAAAAATCTAGGTACAGGGTAGTACTAATCTGTCATGTTCTTGTGGAGTTCTCAGTAACTTAGCTTACCCCACCCAGCCTGAATCAACACCAAGCACACGCTGGGAATATTGCCTCCTCCACCCTCAGGGACCCACGCTCTGTGGTCAAAAACAATGTACACACCCCACAATCAACTGTACCACTCCCCTAGTCAGAGAGCCAGTTTAATCAGCCATATTATTGTTCATAAAAAATTAATCCAGACAGAAGGACAGTGTTTTCATTAATATTATATGACATGTCTTGAAAAGCCACAAGGATTTCTTGGAGATACTGAGGCATTAAATCTGGGATTCCAGTCAGACTGACGATGGAACAACAGGTTTTAGAGCAGGTGATTCAGCTGAAATACTCAGGAAACACAAGGCATCTGGACGGAACCTAACTCAGGATGAGGAAGTGGTGATGATGACCAATGTCTGGGTCACCTTGGACCAAGTGAAGGAGTCTCTGGGATGTGGGACTGGCTCGGCAAATCAGGTTGAGCACTCATCCTTGGTTGGTGTCAGATAACTAAGTTTCAAATTGAGGCTCCTAGTAATTTAGGGCCTTGGACATATTCCTAGTTCTCTCAAACCTTGGCAAAGTGTCAATGTGAGGGAAAATACAAGGCAAAACATGGGAAGAACCAAGCAGAGCACCTGGCAGAGTCAGACATTGTTACTAATCGTTCTCAGAGGACAAATACTTGAACTCAGGTACTGCTGCTGCTGCTTCTACTACTCAACACACCTAACTTGTGTCATTAACAAAGTCAGATCACTTACCCGGGACCAATTAGCATTTCTTCACTTTGAAATCTAAATGATGGTAAAACACACAACAAAAAATTTACCACTACTGACAGATTTTGTCCATTCAGTGCAATGCAACTGTCATCATTATCTAGCTCCAGAACATTTCCATCACTCCAAAATGAAATTCCATAACCATTAAGTAGGCACCTTCCAGCTGTCCTGTCCCTCATGGCAACCACTAATTAATTCACCACAATCATAGATGTCTGTTGTGTTTCACCTAACTGGAATGATCTGCCTCATTTAATGAACATCCTCCATTCCAACAAGTTTTCACTTGTTCTGTCTTATAACCGAGGTCCTACTTACCACCTCCACTCCTCCGGGTCTGGATGACCAACTCAGTATCTGACCAAGTCTACGAGTAAAACATTCCTTAACATTCAATAAAAAGCAGAGACAGCAAACCTTTTCTTTGTACCAATGTCCTATTATTTTCCAAACTGATTTTTTTAAAAAAGGCAACGTGGAAATAACCTAAAAAGCTGCTATTCCTACAAGGCAAGGACTGGTGAAAGAGCAATGCCTACTCCCTCTGCATGGGGACAGGCTGACCCTGACTCACTGCTGCTCCTATTGGCTTCTCAGCTAGGCTTGCTCCCTTTATATTTCCAGTCAGGTTCCTGAAGGTGCTGGTATTTGTAGCAGAAACTATACCAAGAACTGTTTGTTTCATTTTTCAGTTAGGTAACAAGGGATTCAAAACTTTAATTGCCAATCATCTGAGCAACCACCAAGCATACAAGATTAATTCATCACTTGTTAAGCTGGGAGTCATATAAGCATTATATGTAGAAGCAAAATGTGTCTTCCCAATAGTATGAACACATGCAGACCAGGACCTGTCAGATTATCTCCCAGTGTCTAAGGCCTGGCATTGGGAAATACTGCGAAATGAGGGAAGACCATGGATGGGTTGGGGGGGAAGAGACAATAAGTAGCATAGAGAGTGAATTTCTAAAATAAAATGTACATTTCTTAGGTAAAACAAATCACCCAAGAGCATGTGCTCAGGAGAATATTTTATCATCCTTTAGAATGTTAGTAGAGCCAGACATCTGAAAGTGGGGTCTTAATTTGGTACAAGCCAGACAACTACTGAGGGTGACTAATTAGTATGGAGGAGTCTCAGGCCAGATTCCGGTTAAGAGAAACAATGCAGACACTAATTAGTGACATCTTCTACAAAGAACAGTGGTGGCTTGTCAACAGGTACTTAAAACCATCAAGGATAGAAGGTAATACAGAATGTAGGTATTACCTACACACTCATATTGGATACTGGGGCTACTTAAATTGATAATAACATCTTAAAGATGATAGAAGATAAAAAGAATCAAAGTTTTCTTACATAAAGCAACTATTTCTGGTCAACAGAAATGTACCAGTGTCCCCAGGGAATTAGTGCGCCTTATAAAATCTTGTAATTATATACTTGACTTAAATATTACACCTTCAGTAGAAGAGACAATGTAAAAGCAATGAAATATTTTAAAAAGCAATAAAAATAAAGTAACGTGTGGCAGCATGTGCCTGTAGTATCAGTTACTCTGGAAGCTGAGGCCGGAAGAATAAATTCAGTGCCACCTTATCTCAAAATAAAAAAATGGGGGCCAGGGATTTAGCTCAGTGGTTCTGCCGCCTGCCTTGCAAGCACAAAGACCCGAGTTCGATCCCCAGTACCAAAAATACAAAATAAAAAATGGAAAGTGCTAAGTGATAGAGCATTCTAGGGTTGGAGCCACAATACCACCCCTGCAAAGGCAGTAAAAATGAACAATCTTTTTAAATGCCCTAAAGTTGTTTTGTATTGTTTTGTTTTGTTTTGTTTTTTGGTGCCAGGGATTAAACTCCCAACCTTGAAATTGCAAGGCAGGCAGCAGAACCACTGAGCTAAATCCCCGGGCCAAATCCCCTAAAGTATTGACTAGATGCAATGTAGATAATCTATGATTTTTGTTGCGGGAGACATTCCAGGCCCTCATCCCAGTGAGATTCTCCTTACAGGACGATCTAGAATTCAGAGATATACATCTGAGTCTCTTTTCACAACTAAGATTCTCACAACAATCTGCAAGTACCTCAGTCATAACTCAGAAACACTGATACACACACAGTCAACTGTACATCTCACACATGTAATTTAATACTGATAAAAACAGCTTTTTGATGTGAAATAAGCTTTTAATAACACCATTCTTTCCATTCAAAAAATCGAAGCTTCGGACATCAAGACAGAGGAAAATAAATGTCTAACATAACAGGATGTCACCGCTGAGGTTAATAATGCACCAACCAGCTGCACCCAGTATGGATCTGCTAAATCATTACAGGACAGCAACCTGGAACCTCAGGCCTCCTGGTACCAACACAATCAAAGAAACCTGATCAGGGGTGTCATTCAGAGTCCAAAGGGGCCCAAAACAAGACAAAAACTTCTGCACCTTTAGTACATGTTGCCTCAAACTACGGAGGGAAATTAAATTAATATAGAAAAACACCTTGTTAAAGAAAAGGGAAAGAATTCCTGAGAAAGTTAAAAGTTAATGGGGTGAAGTGTAGCTCAGTGGTTAAGGTGCTTGCCTGGCATGAATAACAGACCCGGGGCTCAATCCCCAGCAACAGAAATAAGAAAAAAGAAAAAAACCCTGCCCACACAAATAAATAAAAGGGGTAAGTGGAAATTAAAAGCACAGGGCCAGAGATTTAGCTCAGGGGTTCTGCTGCTAGGCTCACAAGTGGAAGGACCCAAGTTTGATCGCCAGTACCAAAAAAAGAAATTAAAGCAGACAGTCCTCAAGTAATGATATACTGTAAAATGTCACTGGTGCTCATTTAAGGGTGCTGTAAAGTTTGTAAGGGCCTCAATCTAACTGCAGGTTTGATCCATTTTTTTCTTTGGAGATGTCTTCTGGCTCACTCATTTAGTCCGTAGGGAACTACTAAGCTTAGTGTCTCTGGCCCCAGGACTATACCACAAAAAAAAGTGGGGGGGGGGGAACCAAGGAAGACAAAACAGACCAGTGCCTTCCTTGGAATTCACAGCACATAAGATATTCCAACTTACCCACCTACAGAAAAAAAGAAAGAATTAACCCTGAGGACCTGAGGATGGCTTTCAGGTCAGCCAGAAGAGGACTCCACTTGTGTCCTCCACAGACGACACCCAGGTTCAGTAACAAGAGTGATGTTACCAGGGAGAGGGCAGACTGAGTAACTGAGTCCCCAGATAACTGAAGCCTGATCCACTGCTATTCTACTTGGTTATCCGACACTATTCATTCATTTTAATCAAGAATTTAAGGGCTGGGGATTTAGCTCAGTGGTTCCACTGCCTACCTTGCAAGCGCAAGGTCCTGAGTTCGATCCCCAATACCAAAGAAAATAAATAAATAAAAAATAAAAAAGAATTCTAAAAGAGAGCATGTGAAAACAAGTTCTTCAAACACGACGGTGGGGGTATGCATACAAAAATACAGAATGCCTAGCTTAGAACTGAGCAATGCAAGAGAGATGGGATAAAAGGAAGAGAAAATGTGATCACTAGGGGTCCAGCAGTCATTTTGGACCCATTCAAGGATGAAAATCTAGGAACAGAAGGATTTCCCAAGACTACCACCTTCATCTCTAGGTCTTTTCTTTTTAACAGGAAAGATTAAAATTATGAGTTTTTGGGCTGGGGAATTTAGCTCAGAGGTTCTGCCACCTGCCTTGCAAGCGCCAAGAACCCCGAGTTCGATCCTTGGTACCAAAAAAAAAAATTACATGAGTTTTTAAAAGCCACTAGCTTTTGGGAACAGAAAAGGAGCCCAGTATGCATAGTTAATTGCATTTCCTAACAGATTTAAGAAAACTCGTAATAGTATTTGGTCTATTTCTACTTTGTTCCTAATTTTCCTATGCACTTTTTTTCATTCTCAATCTTTCTTAATGTTTGCTATGTTTTGTTTGTTTGTTTGTTTGTTTTTGTACCAGGATTGAACTTGGGTCCTTGTGCTTATGAGGCAGGCGGCAGAACCACTGAACTAAATAAATCCCCGGTCCTGCTATGATTAACTTAATTCTACTATTTTTTCCTAATGCATCACATTTTATTTGGATGAATGTCATCTGAACTCTAGTCAATTAGCAAAATAAAGCCTATTTCCAAAATAACTATTTCTTGGATCTGTAAAAAGCAGATTTTAAAACTCCCAGGAGCTGGGTGTGTAATTCAAGTAAGCACTGTAGTATGTTGTTTAGCCTGCTGACAGCCCTGGGTTCAAAAAAGTAAAAGTTAAATGTTCCTGAAAAAGACACACTGAATACCGTAACACTACAAAAAGCAAATAAACAAATCAGGGACAGGATGGGGTGACGGGTGCTGCAGGAGTGGAGACTGAAATCAGGGCCTTTGAACTGAGCTACATCTCCTCCCATTTTTATTTCTTTTTTTTTGGCGGGCAGGCAGGAGAATGGTGCCAGGGATCAAACTTGGGTCTTTGTGCTTGCAAGGCAGGTGGCAGAACCACTGAGCTAAATCCCTGGCCCCATTTTTATTTCATTTTTGACATAGTGTGTTTCGTCAAGTCACCAAACTTAAATTTGTCATTCTCCTGCCTCTGCCTCCCAGAGTGCAGAGACTCTGAGCGTATAGTACCACACCCAGCAAAGGATAGATTCTTAGACTGATGACTTCTACATCATACTAGTTAGTAAGAAACTAGAATCTACAGCCGGACATGGTGGCCCATGCCTGTAATCCCAGCCCTTGGGAGGCTGAGGTAGGAGGATCGCTGTGAGTTTGAGACCACCCTGAGCTACATAGTCAGTAGTGAGTTCCAGGTCAGTCTCAACTACATAGTGAGACCCTGTCTCAAAAAACCAGAGAGAGACTAGAATCTAAAGAAACTAACTAGAATATCTTCTTCCTGTGTAACCAAAATTAATTCTGTATAAAGCGATTTTAATATTAAAAAATAAGCTAGAAGCGATGGTGCATTCTTGTAATCCCAGCACTTGCGAGTTCAAAGCCCACCTGAGCTACACAGTGAGTTTCAAGACCAGCTTGAACTACACAGCAAGACTCTATCTCAAAAGAACAAAGCAGGGCTGGGGATGCAGCTCAGTGGTGCTGTGCCTGCCTGGCAAGCACAAGATCCTGGGTTCGAGTCCTCGTACCGCAAAAAAAAAAAAATGAACAAATGAATGACAAAACTGAACTAAAAAAATAAAGGTCCAATTCATACATATATTTCTCAAGAAAGCACTGCCTTTAAACATGTTATCTGAATGTGTTCCCTCCCCACAGGTCTACCTTAGGGATAAAAAATAGTTACTACAAACACACTGTTTTAAAACGGCAGGCTAGGGCCAAGGATTTAGCTCAGTAGCACTGTGCCTGCTGCTTCCCAAGCCTGCCTCCCAAGCTCAAGGTTCTGAGCTTGATCACTGGTACAGCTAAAACAACAAACAAACAAACAGACAAATAAACAATAAGGCAGTTCAAAATGGGCAAATGGAGTTTTCATCTCATTAGTATCTCAAAATATCAGTGGAAGACTAATTGTTCCATTGCTCAGAAACCAGCAAAGGAAAAAATACTTACAGAGAACTAAATATTATTTATATAAAAATGGCTCAATAGTCATATTCATTCTAAATAGTTTGTCTTCTACCTTGCTGAAAAATTAACCTAGTGTCTCTGTATTGAGCTACGTTCCTAGCATTTTTTTCGTTTGTTTTTGAAAAAGGGTCTTACAAAGTTGCCCAGGCTGGGCTTAAGCTTGAGATACTATAAACTCAGCTTCTGCGGCAGCTAAGATGGCAGGGACATACCACCATAACCAGCCAGTGAATGATGTGAATAAAGGTAGCTCGTCCTCAACCTTTACCTGGGCTTTCTGTTCCCTCTCTCAAAGGTCTCTGTGCTGCCAGGTGACTGATTTAAATCTAGGAATATCCAATATGTTTAAGAATCTGAATCTTGGGGCCAGGATTTAGCTCAGTGGTTTCACCGCCTGCCTCGCAAGTACATGTTTCTGAGTTTGATCCAGCAAAGACACACACACAAAAAGAATCTGAAACTTTAAAATCCCCAGACAGGGCTAGGGATTTATAGCTCAGTGATTCTGCTGCCTGCCTTGCAAGCGAAAGATCGTGGTACCAAAAAACAAACAAACAAACAAAAAAAACCTTCAGATTCAAAAAAGATGACTGAGCCGGGTGTGGTGGCGCATGCCTGTAATCCCAGCACTGGGGAGGCTGAGGCAGGAGGATCACTGTGAGTTCAAGACCAGCCTGGGCTACACACATAGTGAGTTCCAGGTCAGCCTCAACTACATAGTGAGACCCTGTAGTCCACCCTCCTCCCAAAAAGAGGACTATTACTCTCATTTTCAAACCACTGACTGAATGTAGATTTTAGAGAATTATAAGCCAGGGTCAGGGGGGAGGGATGCCAACACACATCCCATGTTACATGAGGACCTTCTGGGATGTGCACTCACCACTATACAGGGTGTGGCCGTGGTGAAAATAATGTGCCTCTCACACTTCAATCCACTACCACTGGCACCTGGCTTTTCTAGTGCCCTGTGATCTAGTATTCATGTGATCAACTAGTATTTGACCCCTGTGGTCTATGCTAAGGTATATACTGCTACCTAATAATGTAAGAGAACTCTAATACTCTAACCCTAAAGCAATGGGAATTCAACAGACGAGGGTAAATTACCAGGGCTTTACCACCCAGGGCAAAGTCTCTAACCCTTACACAAACAAAATCACCCAAGCTCACTTATTTCTCACCTATAAATAATCTGTTAACAGCATTACGTATGTGGTTTTCTGGCATTTTGCAATGTCTATTTGGATTTGGGGGTGGGGGCTGAACAGTACAAATGCAAGTGATTTGTGAGTCCAGGGCGCCTGGTGCTTGGACATCTGACTAGAAATTATTTGAGCCATATCCTCAATGATCTTCCCGACACCTACAGGAGCCCTCCAGCAATCACCGTTGCACTGATGTCACGAGCTCCCTTTGGTGACTATTCCAATCTCCCCATCCCCTAACACTGACTGCAGCCTGCCCAACCATCACAAGACAGGCAGAGGGAAAGGTTTCAGTGGGCACCGGTACAGGTGGCATGGGCTGACCTGGATTGCCTGGCGACCCTGCTGTGCATCTGCCAGCAGCTGGATGGTGAGTGCCCTGGAGTCCTGCAGAGCCTCTTGGAGGTAGATGAAGCTGTGGCCCCCGTGCCGGCCCATTGTGCACTCACGACAGATGGGCACAGAGCATGTGTCACAGTACAGATGCAGCACCTGGGGAACAGAGAGGAACAGCCATGAATGAGAAGTGTAGACTGGTGAATAGCAACTAAACTGCCCTGGGTCCCAGACCTCAAACATCTCTCTTCCAACAAGCAATCTCCCTCCACAGAGACAGGCGACCCTGCAACTGCAAACACAGCTAACATCCATTTGCCATTCCTCCCCATCCTCTAATGCCACAAACTAAAAGGGGTAGGGAATGAGTAGAGGAGTCCACGACACCCAGCGGACTACACATCTCATTCTAGTTTCCTTGAGAACCATGACAGAGACACTTCAAAGGCAGGGATAAAACAAAAACAACCCTCTGGGCATGATTTTCCTGTATCTCAGCCTAATTATCCAGAAAAGTTTTAAGATTATATCCTATAAAATTATGTCCCTTGGTCTGGGATTGGTGGTCTAAATAAAATATACTGAAAGCTGTCAATTCAGCCTCTGGGGGCATGGGGCAAGGTTAAAAGCTAGCAAAGATCACGTGCCTCTCCCTGTCCAGGAGCTCAGCACACCAGTGCAAAGCTCTCCCAGGCACTCAAGCAAGCGCCAGGCTTCTGTGAAGGCAAATGGCTAGTGGTAAGGTCAGCCAGCTTCTTCTTTCTTCGGCCTGCCAAGTTATCCCAAGGAGTTGAACCAGGGAAGCTGCTAGGGTTGACATATATAACCTGTACCTGCTGGTAACAAGGTGCCCTCCAAAGGGAACCTCCTTGGCACAGAAACTAGGAGAGTTTCCTTGTGCATCTCTCAACAGCAGCACACTCGGCATCACTCTCTGTAGGTAAATTTTTACTGGATCGCTTTCAATTTGCCAGCGCACACCTGGTGTCAGGGGAAACTGGCTCACAAGAGGCAGGGAAATGGAGTGAGAAAGGATTACTTTTCCATACCCAACTCACTTAAAATCTCCAGATGAGGAGGAAGTGGTGATAAGCCCAAAGCCACACAATTAGCAGAGACACAGCCAAGAGGCCAACTTAAGCCTTTTGAAGAGCTCAGAGACACAAGCATGGTAATGACTACCTCATCCAGAGCACAAAACACCCTGCTAAGTACAGTGGGGGTCCAGGATGTCAGCTTCAAGGTGAACTGGCCATGAAGCAGGGCAGAGCTATGGGGACACAAGCAATCTGTAGTTAGGCAAAGAACTCACACAGAAGGGCTACGGGTCAGGACAGAGAGAATGCTACTGCTTCTCTCCTCCGAGTTCTACTTTATTAACCAACCAGGACCTTACCATGACACATGCCTACTAGTGAATGTGCTTCCAAATGGCCCCAGTGAGTGGAGAGACTGCTCTCTCTACTCAAGGTTGGGTTGACAGGGAAATGTGTAACACAGCAGGGTTTAGGCTGCTCCTCTAGAAGCTCCTAATCCGAAATTAATGCAGAGATTTAAGGTTATGATGGGGTTTGTGTGTGTTTTGGATTTTAATTTATCTTGTAGTACTGAGGACTGAATCAGATGCCTTACAAATGTCAAATAAGCACTCTACCACTTAACTACATCTCCAACCCTTTTGATTTTTAGACAGAATCTCACCAAGTAGCCCAAGGCTGGCCTCAAACCTGTGAGATCCTCCTCCTCAGCCTCCTGACTAGTTGGGACTACTGGTATGAACTACCATGCCTAGCTAGGACATGGTAAAAGAAACAGATCTGACATAGCAGGTTTTAAAGATTGTATTAGGGAAAGAGGCATCCTAGGTAAACATTCTACCACTGAGCTACAGCCAAATCCTCAGTCTGCTTCACTACTAATTTTGATCACTGCAGTATTTTTCCACCTGGCTGAAACCAAGTGGAGAGAATTTGCCTTCTTCAAGGCCAACTGCTTTTTTAAACAAGTCCACCCTTAGAGATGATCTCCTCCTCCTAATCTGTTAAAAGTTCTTGAGCAAAGTCTAAATGGTAACCAAAAGATGCTGAACTAGATAAATCCAGAGAAAATTCCTGGACAGTTTCTTTCTATGGTGTGGTACTAAAGCAATTCCCCCAGTTTCAACAGCCTCAGTCACATTCCCCTTCCCTCTGCTTTCTCCATTTGTCTCTGGAATAAAGGGATCACTTCCAAGCTAATGTGAAGTGTGAAAACCTATCAGAAGATTGCTTCAAATTAGAATAAAATGGACCTCTCAGCATTCTGTGGTCTTCCTCTTTCTACCAAAGAGCTAAATAACTTAAGAATGAATCTATTTTATTTACATCTCTTCCCAGGACAGCTGTGTGGCTGGATACGCTGCCTACCACCCCCACTTCCTAGATGGCTTGCAGCACTAAAGAACTTCATGCTGTTAACCAGAGAGCAAGGCACTACCTGGCTGACTCCAGCCAACCTCCTTTGGGCCTGCTGGTATTCCAGGCTCATGTGAACAAAAGGGGTCTGACTAGGTATATCTGAGACCTTTTGTACGGTGAAATCCCAGGAACTTTCTTCTCTCTCTCCCTGGGAACAGGACCCAAAGTACTTCCAAGTAACTGTGGCTGGCTGAGTCAGAAAGCTGGCTCTAAGGGTGCAGTTGGGGACAACTGTGTAACTGCAAAAAAATATGCTGTTAACCTTAAAATGCAAATGCAGTCACCTATGCATGGCAAGATTCTGGATACACAGTGGCCAAAAAAGAAATGCTGTTCAGCACAGACAATAGCAAGAAAGGGGGCAGTGCCCAGCCTTGAGAGACCCCAACCCCAAAAACGGGTCAAGGTGGGCCGTGCATGCAATCCTGCATGGCATCATTCTACAGTGGATCCCAAAGCACACCTCAACTGAGAAATGTTCTGCAGCTTCAGGCTGCCCAGTGAGAAGAGGAGATAACAGCCAGGTGATCAGTAATAAAAACTATAAATGAGTAAAAGAAAACGCTGAATGTTTATAATTAATAAGCTGTAATTTTTTTCTAAAACAATGCATGGTCCAAAAACTGTAAAATGAGATCAGTTTCTAGTTAAGTCTTCTAGCTTTTTAAAACCTAAAACCTTAGGAAGACCCCACACACACACACACACACACACACACACACCCTTGCAATTGCTAAGACCAAAAACCCCACAATCTTAGGCCTGCTGGAACACAAGAGGTAAGAATGTGCATGGGTACAACTATCTTTGTTCCTTTAAAATAATCTTCTGGGTGTTTCAACCTGGACTATGCAGAGGGGTCCATGGCCAGAAATGAGGCAGCAGCCAGGAACTGTGTCCTCTGGAAAGGGGGGTGGGTTTAGGGGGGTTTAGGGGATGGGAAGAGGTCCTCTGGCAGCAGGAATTCACAGGCCTAGAGCGCCCGTCTGGGGCAGATGGATGGACACGCCTCCTCGGGCCTGGCGACAATCTGGCTGCCCCAGCTAAATGGAGCAGGCTTGACCTCTGACCCCACAAGTGACCACCCTCTTCCCTGCCCCCAGCTTCCACACCGTCCCACCCACTGCCTTCCTCTCCCAAAATTTCTAAAATACCAGGCACAGACAAAGACCTAGGAATGTAGGCCCAGCAGGAAAGGAACTGGGGGTTGGTGGAAGTTAAAGGAAAAATAAACAAATAAAAATACAAAGTAGGCAGGTTTGCTTCAGTCAGCCTTGAAATAAAATGCTCTTGTGTGTGTACTCCTGGAATCCAGGTCTATACCATCTGGGGTGCAACAGTGGACAGACACAATGAACTCCTGGCAGAGCCCCATACATCTCAAAAAATGAGATTCCATCATTAAAGTACAGCTATCCACATCAGTGGAGAATTGTACAGTAAATGGAAGGCGGGCACCCTCTGCTTGAAATACATTTAGTTTGTCAAAATGTCTCAACTGAAACAGTCCCTGCAAATTTATTTTTTTTAGATTACTGCAACATGCCCTTTAAAATGAGTGAGGCCATTTACTTGGCCTCCTACAAACTAAGGCTGTACAGTGAAGATCACCATTCATACAAGAGGTCTCTGAGTTTCCCACCACAGAAAGGAAGGGGCTGGGTGCCGAGTCCACAAAGAATATACAGAACATGTGAGCCTTACCTGTGCACCACTCTGCCTGCTCACAGAGAATAAGAGGGAGTTCATTTTAAAAATTGTGAGCCAAACCCAACACGAATAATCTACCCATTAAACAAAGTCTACTAAGGAACCATCCAAACCAGGCTTTACTTCATTTAGATAGACTGTCAGTGCTCTAAAACCCAAAGTACAACCCTCAGCAAAGCCACCTCTGAAGCTCTGGTCAAACATCTGTGCCCCACAGCTGCAGGCTGGGGAAAGGAAGAAAAAAGGAATAGAAACCTAGTCCCTGCAACGTCAGCATAACAGAGCCCAGCTGAGAAAAATTATCCTTTTAAATATTCTTTTATTTAGATGGGTGACACATGCATTTGCTTAAACACAAAAAAGGTAACACAAATGCAAATAATTTTTTAACAGTCTGCCCAGTCTAGAGTTGGGCATGGTGGTACATACCTATAATCCCAGCTACCCTGGATGGAGGCTGACAAGGAGATCGCTTGAGTCCGCAAGAGGACCAAGCCACCCTGGGCAACATGGTGAGACCTGATTTAAACAAAGTCTCTCCCCAGCGTCACTCACTCACTTGCTAGACGAAGAGCTGCCTGGTTTTCTGAACAGTTGCTAACATATTATTATTATCATCATATGAATGTACTACAACTTATTTAATCAGCATTTGCTGATAAAAATTTAAAACCGTTTTCTGATTTAGGGAAAAAAGAAACATAAGCAACAATGCAGTGGATGACCTTAATTCTTTATATAACTCAAAATCTCCAATCTGTTAAGGTATTCTAGACAATTGTAAATTACTTGACATAACAGCCAAAAGGAAAAATATACTTGTAAGTGTGGGTAGTAAAGACTGCCAAATATTAAAAAGGTTAGTTCAACCACCATCCACAAGAAGAGTAAAGCCAGTGAAGTGGCTGTCTCAGACTCAAGACCAACCGAAAAAAGGACACTGGTTGGAGGGCATCAGTGGACAGCAAAAGTGAAGAGAAGCCTGGACCA